ACCCCCCACCCCCCACCCCCCGCCGCCCAATCCTTCTTCATTTTCTACCTTCCCTTCTGGTCTGCTCTGTTGGACTTTCCAAAGAGGCCGGGAGCAGATTAAAGGCGGGAGAGGGGCTGACCCAGCCACACGCGCACCGTCCTTAGCGGGGCTGGGCTGTGGATGTGAAGTGGGGGGAGGCGGGCAGGACCACCATCTGGGGAGCCCAGTCCCCGTGCCGGCCCACGTCAGGCCACCACAAGCTGTGGCTTCTGGAAACGTCACGGTGCACCAGGTAGGGGAGGTGCTATCATTGCCCCCAGGTTCCAGGTGGGGAGGCTGGGGCGCGGTGAGGTCAGATGACCTGCCCAAGGTCACACAGTCTGTTCAGGGGTGACCCCATCTCGGTGCTGCCCCCGCTGATGGCTCATTCTTGCTTTCGGCCAGGTGAGCAGAGCAGAGGTGGGGGACGCGGGCCGCTATACCTGCGAGGCACTGAACCAGGCGGGCCGCTCGGAGAAGCACTACAACCTGAATGTCTGGGGTGAGGGTCTCGGGGGCTGGGCTGGGGTCCCTCCCCTGTCCCTGCCGTGGCTGGCTGGCTCTCATGCCCCCAGAGGAGTGCTGCCTCCATGGTCCCGGGATCCAGGTTTTTTTCTGTTCCCCGCCCCTGTCCCTTCCCGGCCCAGCACCTACCTCATACGCCTCTCTGTTCTCCCCCAGTGCCTCCTGTGTTCCCCTCGAGGGAACCCCGCATCCTGACCGTGACCGAAGGGCACCCCGCCAGGCTGTCCTGTGAATGTCGGGGCGTCCCCTTCCCTAAGATCTCCTGGAGGAAGGACGGTATGATTGCCTCCCTCGCCCAGCCCCGCCCTGGGTGCCCCCCACGGTGGAAGGCTGCTCCTTGACCTCGCTGGGTGCCCCTCCCCCCAGAGCCTAGCTGAAACGGAGACAGGTGGGCTTATGACACTGGGGGTAAGGGTGCTGTTTACAGAAGTGACAGTGCCCTCAGCCCCTCTCTGCTCGGTCCCTGAGTCTGCCAGTGAGTGCTGGCTTGGGCCGCGGCCTTCTCTTCCAGAAAGCCCTCCCTGACCCCCACCCTAGGCTGGGGCCTCCTTGACATAACCCCTGAGTGTTTACCTGTCATGTAACCACCCTAGTTCTTCAATGTCTGCTTCTCCATGAGTCCGTGAGCCCCGTGAGGTGTCGTCTTGGCCCCCCTGAATTCCAAAATTGGTATAAAACGGGTGCTCAATAAATACTTGTCATTCATTCATTCACTGAACCAATAGTTGCTGAGGGCCTCTCCGTGCCAGGCCCCGTTCTGGGTGTTGGAAATATGGCAGTGGATTGGGGGTAGTCAGGTAACAGGGAGTTAGCGAATAACTTAGATGGTAAGTACTACCTATGGAGGAAAATAAAGCCAGGAGACGGAGGAGGTGTTTGCAGTTTCAGGCTGGGTGGCCACGAACGTTTGGCCAAGCAGGATTTAAGAAGGGGAGGGAGGGGTGAACATGAGAATATGGTAGGGAAAAACATTTCAGGCAGCGGTCTTAGCAGGTGCAAAGGCCCTGGGGCCGGGCTGGGATTCAGGCGGGACCGGATCTGCAGGCAGACCCGTGATGCGGAGAAGCCCAGGGATTGTGGGAGCTCAGGGATGGGATTTGGCACTCAGGGAAAGCTTCCTGAGAGATGTGCCGTGTAAGTGGACGCCTTCAAGGGTGAGCGGAAGCCGGCCAGGACGGGTGGGAGGACACATATTCCAGGGGGAAGGACCGGGGACCAGGGGCTTCTTTCTTGCTGCCTCCAGGTCAGCCCTTGCCAGGGGAGGGGAACAGCCTCGAGCAGGTGTCAGCGGTGGGGCGGCTGCTGTACCTGGGACAGGCCCAGCCGGCCCAGGAGGGAATGTACACCTGTGAGTGCAGCAATGTGGCGGGCAATCGCAGCCAGGACCAGCTGCTGGAGGTGCATGGTGAGCCGGGCTGGGACGACCTGAACCCGGTGGAAAGGGCCAGGAGGGCGGGCCACCAGGCACCCCGGCAGGGCAGACCCCACCCCCCAGAATCCGAGCAAAGACAGAAACAGTGACGATGAGAACAATTTCCCGTCCCCCCTTGGCCACTGGGGTTTTACGAGCTGCCCCCCGCTCAATCAGCCTCTTCCAGCTCGTGACCTATGCGCGTGCGCGTGAGAGGGGCGCCAAGATCCCAGGTAGCCCCCCGTGGGCCCAGAGAAACAAAGTTTATCTGGACAAACCTCTGTGAGGTTCCTGCACATAACGGGAGCCTGTCTCCAGAGACTTGTCCTGCAGCGATGCAATTAAATACCACAGCCTTGTAGACATCTAGAAAATTCTAGAAAATAAAACCAAGAAAAGCGCCGCTCAGCATCCCACCTATGGAACGACGCCCTGCCCAAACAGTCCCAGTGTCCCGTTTAGGCCCCAGGAAGCCCCTCGTTTCTGAGGAAGGAGACCCCTCACAGATCTTCAGGGCTGTGCTGTGACTTCATTCTCCAAACAGAGGGCCTGCCCCTGATTTCCAGGGTGCAGGAGAGGGGCCGAGAGGTACTGGGGCGGCCCCCGTTATAGAGATGGAAAACGGAGGCCCAGAGAGGTGAGGTCACCCGGCAAGGTCACACAGCCAGGGAGTGGCCGGGGGAGCACAGGCGGAGTGGGGGCCAGCCCGGCTCGCGGCAGACGCTTGGTGCCCCGGTGGCCACAGCAGCCTTCCCTGACGCGCTTTCCCCTCATCCCCAGTGCCGCCTCGGATCGCTGGCCCCCGGGAGCCCCACACGCAGGTCTCTGTGGTCCAGGACGGGGAGGCCACTCTGTGGTGCAACGTCACAGGGAAGCCCCCGCCCAGGGTGACGTGGGAGTGGGGCGGCCAGCCGGTGAGGGCCGAGGCCGGCCTGCTGCTGCGGAACCAAGGCCAGAGTCTGCACGTGGGGCGGGCGCAGGCTGCCCACAGCGGACGCTACACCTGCGTGGCCGAGAACGTGGCCGGAAGGGCCGAGAGGAGGTTTGCACTCGCCGTGCTGGGTGAGGACCCGCAGCGTGCTGGAGGAGGGCGGGATGCGGGGCCCGCTGGGGAGAACAAGGCCCGTTCCAGCTGCCGGTACAGCCCCTGGTTCTCCCAGGAGTCAGGCCTGCTGTTGGGGGAAGCCTTGAACCCTGCTCTCAAAATCAAACAGCCTTCATTTCCCCCATCCCTCTCTCCCTTACTTGCTGTTCCCCTACTCTGTTCCTCGCACTGGGGAAATAAGCAGTCTCTATCCCGCGTGACTCATGTGTGGTGGGGGGAACCCAGGGCCTAGGAGAGACAAGGAAGAGCCTGAACGCTTGTCAAGGGAAGTCAGGGCGGCTTCCTGTAGGAGGTGACCTTTAAGCTGAAACGTAAAAGCTGAGTGGAAGTTAACCAGGTGCCAGGGTGGGGGAAGGGGATGAGTGTGTGTGGGGGGGTGGGCAGAGGGAACACACTGTACAGAGGCCTGGACAGGTGACACAGCACTTTCGGGTGACCGCCGCCACATCCTCGTGATTCCAGTCTTTTATTGAGCGCCTACTGTATGCCTCAGGGTGGGGGCAGGAAGTGGTAGGAGATAAGGTGAGCAGGGATGGGTTTAGCGAGGCCTCTCTCATCGTGGCCCCACCCCTGCCACTGCCTCGGGATCCCTGGAGCGTGACCTCCTTCTGAGTGGGTCCTTTAGAAAGCACAGAGGTGCTTGGCGTGTGGGTTTAGGGGGCATATCTGTGTCCACCCCGGCCCTAATTCCGGTCTCGTTGCTGAGCATTGACTCCACACCAGGCAGTGTGCTGAGTTCTTACTGAATCCTCCTGGCATCCTTCTGAGGGAGCGGGGAAACTGAGGCCCAAGGTTCGGCTACTGCCAAAGCCCAGCCTGTGGGCACCCGTCACTCCCTCCAGCGGGAGCCACTCTGATCTTGTCACTTCTGTTCCTCAGACTCTCCCGACCGGGGGTGGGTGTCCTTGCGGGGCACAACTGTTGGGGGACAGGGAAGGCGCATACAGCCCCCATATGCGGCCTGAGTGTGGTTTCTCCTCTGTGTCTAGTGCCCCCAGAGCTCACCGGAGACTTGGGCCCAGTGACCAACGTCTCCGCTGCCCTGCACAGCCCCTTGACGCTGCTCTGCGAAGCCACAGGCGTCCCACCCCCACGGGTCCGCTGGTTCCGAGGGGAGGAGCCCATCAGCCCCGGGGAGGACACCTACCTCCTGGCAGGTAAGGTGCCAGCCAGGGGAGAGTCTGGTCGTCAGTTCTGGCCCTCTGCCTCCGCCTCTGTTTATCACTTGCCCCTGCCCACTGACCCTTCGCTGCCAGGCCTGGTTGGGAAAACCATTTAGCCATCGGTCCCCCAAGAATGCAGCCGAAAACACTGGCTAGGTGAGGTAAACAACTGGCTTTAAATAAGCGTGGAAAAGACTTCCTGCTCGGTTTCCCTCCTGAAGACGGACAGCGACTATGTGCACAGTTAAGGCTCTGATAAGTCTTGCAGCAAAAGTTCTCATGGCATGTCCATAACATGCCCCAGGACAGTGACACACTTTCAAAATGCTGAGCCAAGCACCTTCTCCTCTGAACATTCATCCTCCCCACAGAGCTGGTTTGTGATAGTTCTTACTGGGGAACTATGAAAGGGGAAACTGGGGCCCAAGAGGCAGTGTCCCATCCACGTTTTGCAAGAACCTCAAGAGCCCCCTGAAGTTCAGCCTCGGTGACCCAACAGTTGTTCCACGTAGCCAAAGCTGGGATGACAAATTAGGTTCCCCTGTGCACCACTTCTGAGCACTTGGTGGGGACTGCTAGATGCCTTGCGATAGGAATTCAGAGACTGCATCGGGGCGGAGGAGAGCATGGTGATCCATTGGTGATGTCTGCCCCCGGGTGATCTATTGGTGATGTCTGCCCCTGGGGTGATCTGTTAGTGATGTCTGCCCCCGGGTGATCCATTAGTGATGTCTGCCCCCAGGTGATCCATTGGCGATGTCTGCCCCTGGGGTGATCCATTAGCGATGTCTGCCCCCGGATGATCCATTAGCGATGTCTGCCCTGGGTGCAGGAATAGCAGTAATGGTGTATCCAGTGTATCTGCCTTCCCTGGGCAGGTCTTAGATGATCCTTGGGTTTTCCTGGGAGGAACTGACTCACCTCTGAGAGGTTCTTGGGAGAAGGTGGCTTTTTTCCAGGGCCACCAGAATCCCATGGCAGGGGGTGGGGGGGGGGGCGTCAGGAGTCTGA